TATATAGATAGATAGATAACACATTTCTTTGTTATATTTTGACAAAAGGTAAGTTTTGCAAGTGTTTTAATGAAAACACTATATCTGCCTGTTTCTCCACAGACTTTATAATCGTTTGGATGTGACGGGTCACATATCTGATGTACAATTTATTAGCAGCTCCCCACCTGTTACATGTCATTCAGTGGTAAACCATTTCAATTATTTGATGCCTCTGCTGCACATTTATGATGTTAACTATTAATGTCATAAAAATATCTGAAAAAATTATCTCTGTTTTAAGATAACAGCAGAAATCTGAACGTCTTTCCGTTCGTTTAGGAAGGAAACTCCTCCTCCTCTGCTTGTCATCACTTTCAGCCACGTCACAATGAACTCGTTGACTTCTACTAAAACACAAAAGACAATCATGAAAATAAAAAAAACACTTTGTGCCTTTTATTTCTTACATCTCTAAGAAGTATGTTAATACTTCTTTTTTTATACACATTTAGATATATTTTATGTTTTGAGCATCTTTAAGTAAACTCTTTCCAACCATTTAACAATAAAATAAACCAGATGGAAATTTTAAAGCCAGCATCACTTCTCAGCAGGGAGGGATGTTTAAAATACAGATGGATTTAAATGAGCAGATTCAATTTTTGAATAAAGTGAATATTAAAAAAACAGCTTGTATGTTCAGTGATATGCATTATTCAGCAGGATTACCCTCCAACAAACGTGGCGGATGTGGATGTTTTATTTCAGGAAAAAGTCAATTTCCATTAGGCAGGTGACCATCTTTGGATCTCTGCTGGGTTTGTGGATAATCCAAACAAATCAGGCTGACTGACTCCTCTATTGATCCCATCAGAACCGTCAGAGCAAACATCATTCACCGAGATGCAAACATCACTTTGAGCCGCTTCACCTTCAGTCTGAGAACAAACTCATTTATAGCTCCGCATGTGACCAAACCAAGAAAACTGGTTTCAAATCTGCAAACTCTCTAAAAGAAGACAAACTATGCAACTTAGACAACCTGTGTCCACTTTTCTCTGCATTTAAACTATTTTTTTTCTTTAAAAAGTAATAAAGAAGCAGGATTTTCAGCCTTTTCCATCTATCCAACGGTTTTACGCATCAGAATCTGAGTGTGTGTGTGTGGGGGGGGGGATTCCACGGAGCTATAGCGTCACGCTTCTGCTCTTAAATTAATCACTGGGAGCTTTAATCAAGCTTTATGGCCGTAAGATGGCGCGTTTAAGGGATAATGACTTTCTACAGTGTGCGTAAACACGTTTTTAGTGTTTACGCACACTTTTTAAAGGTTGTTTGTCTGTGCCATTAGTGCGCACAGATCTGTGTATCCTCCCTCTTCTCCTCCCCCTTTTCCCCCTGCACCCCGTGCGCGTGTGTGTGCGTGTGTGTGCGTGTGTGTTTTCTCCTGTCAGCGGACCTCGCCGTGCTCCATGTGAGCGGAAAAAAAAAAAAGACGCAACTCCACGGGGCAGTCAATGCGCGTGCAGAAACACAAAAAAYACACCAAGCAGCGCGCCACAGTCAYYGATGTGGTCTGATTCTAGGTTTTTTTTTAAATCTATAAAACAGAAAATAAAAGCATCAGTTTCTGACCTGCTGCCAGTTCTCCTCCAGGGAAGGCATCGCGGAGAAATAACCAGTGTCATGAACGAGTTGGAGTTCCTGGAAAATACTGTAATTCGCCAAAACATCCATAGTTGAAGTAAATAAAAATAAAAATCAAAAAAAGAAGAAGTCAGTTTGGGAAAAGTCCCAAATGAAAGCGATAAAGACACACTTCTTTATTTATCTTCTTCCTCCTTTCCTCACAAAGTGGATAAATAAAAAAATAATAATAAAAAGCTGTGGTGCAGATGCGCACCACAGCTTTTTTTTAATTCAAAAAGAAAAAAAAAGCTTTAAAAATGACAGAAAGTCTGTTTTAATTTGATCTTTGTCAGTGAAATCCCTTCTTCTCCCAGCTCGCTCCGTCACGCCTCTCTCCTCAGTCCGGGCTTTGGAGGGAGGGAGGGAGGGATGGGGGGGTGCCAGATCTATTTCCGCATTGCCAGATTGCCAATCGGTCTCCAGGTTGCCAGGTTTGCTCCTCCAGCAGCAGACTGTACCAGGCTGCAACCCCGGCATGCAGGGAGAGAGAGAGAGAGAGAGAGAGAGAGAGAGAGAGAGAGAGAGAGAGAGAGAGAGAGAGAGAGA